AACTCACTGTGTAGCCCAGGCTGGTCTCAAACTCACAGCGATCCTCCTGCCTCAGTCTCCCAAGTGCTGGGATTATAGGCATCACCACCATGCCTTGTCCTAGTTTTTCTTTTTTCTTGCTTATTCTTTTCTGTTACTTTCATTTGACACTATCAATTTCCTTATACTCCTTAATAGAATCCTTTACTTCACTTTTCTCGCCTCCTTCTCATCTTCCATTGCTTAATTTTTCACAGTTTACTTTTTTTCATGCTCCTGTTCTCCACCCTCTCTGGTTTAGTATAGCAAATAAGCTTTATGAATCTTTAGGTAGTTAACTAGGCTTTTACAATTGCATACTATTCTATTGTTAGTGGAGATAAAGATGTTCTATTTAGTAGATATTTACTGTAGGTCAATATTTGGTTTGTCTTAGTATTTATACTATAGTTATAGATCTCTTTTCTATGGTTAAGGGTTACATTGTTGATTTTTTTTTTGTTTGTTTGTTTGGTACCGGGGATTGAACTCAGGTCCTTGCGCTTGCAAGGCAGGGCACCGAACCGCTGAGCTAAATCCCAGGTCCACATTGTTGATTCTTAGAGTATGTCAATATCCAGTTTGACTTTGATGCTATTAGTGTTGCTGATTTTATTCTATAATCAACGTGGCATAGTTGTTACTACCAGTTGGTTTTCTGGGTTTGCCAGTGTCTGGATTGCCTTGGTGTCATTAATAATACTGCAGCCCATTGGGCTGGGGGTTTGGCTCAGTGGTTTTGCCACCTGCCTTGCAAGCTCAAGGTCCTGAGTTCAATCCCTGGTACCAAAAAATCCTGCAGCCCATTCCCGGAGAACTGGGTGCTGAGCTGAATACTTGCAGCCTCCCCTCCCAAATGAACGGAGGTGGGGACTCTTCGACAGCGACCAAGACCTATAGAGAGACACACTCAGATTGCTTCCCTGAAAAGCAGACACTAACTGAAGAGGTCTCCGTGTCCACCTGCCAACTTCTAGCATTTTCCCCTCAGCACAGGGCTGCGGAGACACAGACCAACCAACCAACTCGATCGTGGATGAGGCCACTGTTCTAGCAGAGAAGGTAAGCCCTGGAGAATCGGCACCTTCAGGGAGAAATAATGGATTGTCTAGCGGTGCTAGCCCTAAGAAAAGCCCACGGCTATTGTAAACTGCAAACACAGTGTGGGATTTTAGTCCGAGAGTGACTGCTTCACGGCAGGCTAGAGTTAGAGAAGATATCCAGCAACCACTTTGCCAACCTGTACGCCAATACATTGGCGAATTCAGAAGAAAGGGATAGATTTCTAGATACATATGAATTACCAAAAGTGAACCGAGAAGATTTAAAGACTTTGAGTAATGCAATAACAGGCAATAAAATTGAAGTAGTAATTAAAAAAAAAACCTATCAACTAAGAAAAACCCTGGTCCTGAAGGATTCACTGCCAAAACCTATAAGAACTTCAAGGAAGATCTGATGCCAGTACTCCTCAAACTCTTTAAGAAACTGAAAGGGAAGGAGGACCCCATGAAGTCATACCTGGAAGTTAGCATTACCATGATTCCAAAACCAGACAAGGATCCAACCAAAAAAGTGAACTACAGGCCAATCTCTTCAATGGGCATAGATGGAAAAAACCCCAACAAAATACTGGCCATGAGAATGCAATGAATCATCAAAAGGATCATACACCATGACCAAGCAGGATTCATCCCAGGGAGGTAAGGATGGTTGAACATACACAAATCAGTAAGTGAAATATACCACATAAACATAAGCAAGGGGGAGAATGCAATGAATCATCAAAAGGATCATACACCATGACCAAGCAGGATTCATCCCAGGGATGTAAGGATGGTTGAACATACACAAATCAGTAAGTGAAATATACCACATAAACATAAGCAAGGGAAAAATATCACAGGCTCATCTCAATAGATGCAGAAAAAGCCCCTGACAAAATCCAGCATCCATTCATAATATTCAAAACAAAGCCTCCGGAAGAAAGTAGGTTTAGAAGGACCTTATCTCAATCAGATGAAAGCCATTTGTGACAAACATACTGCCAACATCATATTAAGTGGGGGGGGGACCCGAAAGCTGTCCCTCAAATATCAGGAACAAGAAAAGGAAGTGCATTATCACCGCTCCTGTTCAGGGTACACCTCAAAACATTGCAGCAATCAAACAAGGGGAAGAAATAAAAAGGATATACATATAGGACAGGAAAAAGTCAAAGTATCATGATATACAGACGATATGATCTTCTACACAGAAGACCCAAGAAATTTCACCCAAAGATTCTTATGATGAATAGCCATTTTCAGCAATGTAGCAGGGATACAAAATCAACACACACAAATCACAATGATTTGCTGCACTCTGTCTACATTCCTTACACCAGTAATTGCAGCAGACATCCCTGCCCAGTACTAGTAAGCTATAAGTGGCACACGTCTCTTGCTTCTCCATAATTCGGCTGTGTTGTATTAGGAGTCCGGCCAAAACCACCATAGGACTTGTATGGTCACGTCAGATGGCAGAGGTGGGCAGGCAGAGCTCCTCTGCCAGCGGCTGCCACAGAGATCTAAGTCCTGGTCTGTGAAGTGGCAGAGACCTATTGAGCCAACTTCCAGCTGAGACCTCAGAATACGTCTCCTTGTTCCCAGTACAAAAGAGTTTGAAGGCACACATGTAAGAGTGAAATTGTAGATTTTAAGGTGTAAGAATATTCAGCTTGACAAGATAATATTTTATTGGGCGAGGGATTTAGCTCAGTGGTGTTGCCACCTGCCTTGCAAGCGCAAGGTCCCAAGTTTAATCCAAAAAAAAAAAAGATAACACATTATTTCTCAGGGAACCAATACACAGCCTTGTAAGAGTTCTTGTTGATCTTCAACCTCTCCAAAAGTTGTCCTTGTCAGATTTCTTAACTTTTGCTAGCCCAGTTATGATTTTAATTTTCCTGGCTACTGTTGCATCTTTTGATTGACAATTCTGAGGCCTTACCAGAGTGACATAAAAAATGCCCTTCTATATTTTCTTGTAAAGTTTTTATTCACATATAATGAAATAGACTGTGATGCCTTACTAGCCAGGATTGCTCTTGTTATTCTGGGTCTCTTCTGGTTCCATATGAATTTTAGGATTGTTTTTTCCAGTTCTCTGGGGAATGCTGTTGGTATTTCTATTAAGATTGTGTGAAATCTATTAGAAGTATGGCCACGCTAGCAGGGCACGCCTGTAATCCCAACACTTGGGAGGCTGAGGCAGGAGGATCACTGTGAGTTTGAGACCAGCCTGGGCTACATAGTGAGTTCCAGGTCAGTCTCAACTACCTAGTGAGACCCTGTCTCAAAAAACAAAAACAAAAACAAAAACAAAAACAAAAAAAAAGTATGGCCATGCTTACCCAAGAATAGGTAATTCATTTTCTGATGTCCTCTTCAATTTCCTTTTTCAGAGCATTATAGTTTTCATCGTAGAGGCTTTTTGCTTCCTTGGTTCCTAAGTATTTAATATTTCTTGATACAATTGTGAATGGCATTTTTTTCTAATTTCTTTCTCTGTGAGTTTGTTATCTATCAAGAGCCCTGGCCATGGGTCTCAATCTCCTGAAGGTGATAAGATGCAATAAACAAAAGACACAGAAACAGAGATTCAAAGAGAAAGCTGGGTCTTGGTTAGTCTAAGATGCTCTGGGCAGCAAAGACTAAAGGCACTGAGTATATCCTGTATTTATTGATTTATACTCATAGGAAAAGGAGAGCTGGGTATGCTTGAGACATCTGGTGACAGAACACAGGCATCTGGAGATAGAGGTCATCACAAGCAGGGCTGTAAAAAAAAGAGGCACTGCTTATCTGCTTATCTTGCAAGAGAGAGCAACCGGGCCCCACGATCATAATTAACCAGCAACCCATGAGGTCAATAAGGGAAGCCATCATTTAGGGAAAATAATTTAGCTGGAGTAGGAGACCAAATTAAACTTGGGACCTTGCGCTTGCAAGGCAGGTGGCAACACCACTGAGCTAAATCCCTCGCCCAATAAAATATTATCTTGTCAAGCTGAATATTCTTACACCTTAAAATCTACAATTTCACTCTTACATGTGTGCCTTCAAACTCTTTTGTACTGGGAACAAGGAGACGTATTCTGTGTTTACTTCTAACTACTGTGTGACCATGGGCAGATCACTTAATCTCTTTATGCCTCGATCTCCACCCCTGTAAAATGGGAATGATGATATTTCCCTCATAGGGTTGTTGTATGAATTAAATTAGTTAATATTTTAAAGCATTTAGTACAGTACTCAACGCAAAGTAAATATCATAGGGCCGGGGATTTAGCTCAGTGGTGCCGCCGCCTGCCTCACAAGGGCAAGGTCCTGAGTTCGATCCCCGGTACCAAGACAACAACAACAACAAAGTAAATATCATAGATTTGTTTCATAAAATAAAAATAAATAAGCATGCCTATGCTATAAGGCACTTTAAGAGGAAAAAAAGAGAATAATAAACACAAACTTCTGGAAAGTGGTCACCTATAGGTGGGAGGCAAGCAGCAAATGAGCAGGTAAACAATGAACCCTCAGTGACATCCCATCCCTGCGGGGCCTGCTGCTCAGAAGCGTTCCTTACATTACTGTGCAGTACAATGCTATGTATGTCACATATGGTCTTTTATGTGCCGTTGCAATCTGGAAGGCTGAGGCAGGAAGGTCACGATTTGGAGCCCAGTCTGGGCAACTTAGCATAACTCTGTCCCCAAATAAAAAATAAAGAAAGGGCTGGATGTAGTATAGTGCAAAGGCCTCTGGATTCAATCCTCAGTACTGAAAATAAATCAGTGAATGAGTAAATACTTTTTTAAGGGTGAAAGGTGTATTTAGCTCACAGTTTCTAGAGGATTCTGTCCATAATCAGCTGGCTCCAAAGCAAGGCAGCTCGGCAGACAGAGGAGAGAAGAAAATGAAATTAGAAGAAAATGAAATTCTTACACGTCCGTCAAGAAGAGGCCCCGTAGGTGGGAATGACAGCCACAAGCTGGAAAGTGCGCTCTAAGCGAGGCAGGTAGGGTTCCTGTGGGTGAGATTGACCACTTAGCCTCGATGTGGCGGGGAGGAAGGGGCTGGCCCTGTCAGACGCCTGCGGCCCTGGGGTAGGGACACAGCCCTACATTTCTAGATTTGCACCCAGGTTACCAGAGGCCAGAGCACAAGAGGAAGGGGAAGAAGAAGGTAAAAAACAAGAAACAAGGGGCTGGGGATTTAGCTCAGTGGTTCCGCTGCCTGCCTCGCAAGCACAAGACCCGAGTTTGATCCCCAGTACCAAAAAAAAAAAAAGAAACAAACCAAGGCAGAGGCGGGCTGGAGACCAGGCAGAAGGGAACTTGAAGAGGGGATCTGGAGCTTGAGAAACTGGGATCCCCAACTATTATGCTTACTGAGGGAAACTGAGGCTCCTAGAGGGGGAGAAACTCGAACTCGGGCCTTCATACTGTCCACAACTCTTTCCCCATGGCCATACTTAGTCTGAGGCAAAGTGAGAGGCTGTAACTTACCCCTGTGGGCTCCGGTCCAGCCAGGTCTGGGCAGGAAAAGCACGACCAGCTGCCTGTGTGGCGGCCCTGCCCCCAGCTCGGCATTTAATGCAAGCGTCTGTCTCCCTCCAGTCCCCCAGGGCCACGTGCTTCATGTGACCCGGCTCCACCCCAAAACAGAAATTCACTACCCGTTTTTCTCTTTTTTCTTTTTCACTGTGGCAATTGTTTTGTGTTTTAGTACTGGGGATTGCGCCCAGGGCCTTCACACTGAACTACATCTCTCACCCTTTTTTATTTTTCATTTTGAGACAGGGTCTTACTAAGTTGCTTCGGTCCCCAGATGGGGCTTGCACTTGTGGTCCTCCTGCTTCAGCCTTCCTGGGTGCTGGGATCACAGGCCTGTGCCATCACACCTGCCTCCACGTGGACCACTTTAAACGGACAGTTCTGTGGCACTGAGCAGATCCGCTTTGTTCTTCAGACAGCAGTACCATCCATGTCTAGAGCTTGTTCAACTTCCCAAATGAAATCTCTATGTCCACAAAACAGTAACTCCCTCACCCCAGTCCCTGGCAATCCCCAATCTGTTTTTGTTTTGGCTTTGGTTTATTTTTATTTTTATTTTTTGAGACAGGGTCTCACTATGTAGTTTAGACTGCCCTGGAACTCACTGTGTGGCCCAGGCTGGTCTCGAACTCACAGCAATCCTCCTGCCTCAGCCTCCCGAGTGCTGGGATTACAGGTGTGCACCACCACACCCAGCCCCAATCTGTTTTTCATCTGAGTCAGGCTAGGTTAGGGACCTCAGATGCGTGAAGCTATGTGGTATTTGTCCTTTTGTGGCTGGCTTATTTCACTTAGCGTGACATCTTCGAAGTTCGTCCTTGTGGGAGCATGTGTCCGAATGCCCTTTTGTTTTTGTACCGGAGATCAAACTAGGGACCTTGCTCTTGCGAGGCAGGCAGTGGAACCACGGATCTAAACCCCGTCCTCCCAGTGCCCTTCCTTTCAGAGCTGAACCCTGACTACTCCCACGTGTGTTGTTATGCACCTCATTTTGCCTATCCAGTCACCTGTCCACAGGTGTCTGGGTTGCTTCCACATTTTTGGCTGCTGTAAGTATTGCTGCTATGAACGCGGTGTACAATTACCTGTTGGAGACCATGCTTTCGATTCTTTTGGATGTGCATCTCCAAGTGGAATTGCTGCTTCATATGGTAATTCTGTGTTTGATTTTTCATAGGATCTGCCACCTTGTTTTCCTCTGTGTCCTCTTTATTTCTTATTTTATTTATTTATTTATGTATTTTTTGGTACTGGGAATGGGACTTGGGACTTGATGCTTGTGAGGCAGGCGGCGGCACCCCTGAGCTACATCCCTGGCCCCCTCTTTTGATGAGCAGTTTCTGAGCTATTTGGGACCCTCAGTGGACGAGGCAGTTCCGGGATGAGCCACCTGTCCTGCCCCTGTTGTCTGTCCAGTTTTCAGAGTGGCAGGGTCCCGGGCTGTGTCCTGACTTCACTTCTGTTAGTGACCAAGAACCACGAGCCTCTCAGGCCTCTGCATATCTGCCACCTCACACAGCAGTTAAAAAATAAATTACTCTCAGAGAGTGATTTTGTACAAAGAAGCAGAAAGTTGGGTGCTGGGCAGACAGCCAGGCTCAGTCACGAGCAGAGGCTCTTGCTTCCCTGGGCCGGCCTCACAGCAGGACACACAGCAGGACACACAGCAAGATACACAGCAGGACACACAGCAGGACACATACTGCTTGAACTTCCGGCTAGGAAAGTCACAGATCAATGATGACAGTGACCACAGAACAGTGCAGACCATGAGGCCATGGGTCTGCCAGCTCTGGAGCAACTTTTTCTCTAAATGTTAGATCATTAGTACATGTGTGTTGTACATATGTAATATTTAGACGCTTTGTGGGAAGTCAGCACGTGTGCATACCTTAATTTCTTTTTTCATTCCCTTTCCCTTCACGCCCTCCTCCTTTCTTCCATCTCTTGATCCCCCTTCCCCTTAGAGAATGATCTATCTCCTACTTCCTTTTATTTACCTTTTATTTTGCTCTTAATTTTTCTCTGGGTTTCCCATATAAGAGAAATATATTTCAACTTGTGTGTCTGATGCACTTCACTTGCGGTTATGGTCTCAGCGCACATCCATTTTCCTACAAAGGCCTCAAATGTAACTTTATGGCAGAGTAGTGCTCCGCCGTGTGTAAGCATCACACTTTCTTTATGCATTCATTGGTTGATGCACACATATGGTCTCCAAGATTAGCTCCTATGAACTGTGTTGCTATAAACAAGGGTGTGCACGTGACACTGTAGCATGAAGTCTCTAAGTCTTTCGGGAAGACGTCTGGTCAGGGAATAGCTGGGTCAACAGGGACTTCTAGTTTCCGTTTTTTGAGGAATCTCCATACTGATGTCCCTAGCGGTTATACCAGCTTACATTCTCACCCACAGTGCAGGAGTGTTTCTTTTTTTTCCTGCAGCCTCTCCAGCATTTATTGTTATTTAATTTCTGGATGATGGCCATTCTTCCTGAGGTAAGATGGAACCTCAGTGTTTTAATTTGCCTTTCTCTAATAGCCAGAGATGGTGAACATTTCTTCACACATTTATGGGCCATTTGTACTCCTTTTGTGAAGTATATATTTGCTTTACTTGCTCACTTTTTGATTGAATCTTTTATTTGGAAGGGTCTATTTTTTTTTCTTTAGTTCTTTTTATATTCTAGATGAGTCCTCTGTCTGAGAAATTGCTGGCAAATGTTTTTCCCATTCTATAGGTTGTCCCCTTACTGTTGGTTATTTCTTTTGCCGTGTACAAGCTTTTTAAGTTGATGTGATCCCATCCAATGACTCTCAGAATGATTTTCTGTGCACCTGGGGTTCTGTATGGAAAGTCCTTACCTATGCCTAGAACTTTAAGAGTTTGCCTATCTTGTCTTCCAGCAGGTTGTTCTGGTATAACAGTTAGTTCTTTGATCCATTTTGATTTTAGTTTAGTACTTGATGAGAGGTATGGGTCTAGACAATCTTCTGCATGTGGAGAGCCAGTTTTCTCAACAGCATCTATTGAAGAGGCTATCTTTCCTCCAGTGTTACACTTTTGGACCCCTTGTCAAAGATCATATAGCTCAGTGTACCTTGGGTTGGTTTCACTTCCTCTGTCCTGTTCCATTGACCCATATGTCTGGTTTTTTTGTTTGTTTGTTTTTTAGTCACTATCTGTAGCTTTGTAATATAACTTCAAATCCTGGGTTGTGATGCCTCCTGCTTTGCTCTTGTTACACAGGATTGCTTTTGCTATTCTGGGTTTCGTCTGGTTCCATACGAATTTTAGGATTGTTTTGTACAGTTCTATGAAAAATGCTGTTGAAATTCTGATTTGGATTGTGTTAGATCTGTGAATCAATGTTGGAAGTGTGTCCATTCCGACAATATTGTTTCTGTCTATCCAGGAACAGGGGACATCTTTCCCTTTTCTGATGTCCTCTTCAATCTCCTTTTTCAGAGTACTGTAGTTTTCCTTGTAGAATTTTTTCAGTTCTTTGGTTAGGTTAATTCCTAAGTATTTAATTTTTCTTGGTGCTACTGTGAATGGTATATTCTAATTTCTTTCTCAGTGAGTTTATTATGGATATACAGGAACACTATTGATTTTTATGCGTTGATTTTATATCCTGCGATACTACTGAATTTGGTTATTAATTCTAAGTGTCTTTTGGTGGGTTTTTTAAATCTCCGAGGCAGAGGATCACGTTACCTGCAAATAATGATAATTTGACTTCTTTTCCTGTACACGTCCCTTCTATCTCTTTTTCTTGCCTAATTGTGGAGCAATTTCTATTTGTACTTTTGTGTCTCTGTTTCTTTAGAGAAATCCTTTCTTCTTTCCTCTCTCCATCTCTCCTTTCTTTCTTTCTTTCTTCATCTCCTGCCTGTTTCTGAATTTCCTGTTTCAGAGGTCTCGGTCCATGTTTGACCAGCTCCAAGGAAGAAGCACATGGCTGAAGGGGCCAGCAGAGGAAAGAGGCTCACGGCAGAGGAAAGAGGCTCACGTCATGATAGCCAGTAAGCAGAAACACAAGGGAGGCCTGAGGAGGGGAGTTACAACCCTGCAGGCCACACCTCCAGTGACCCACCTCCAGCCAGCCCCTGCCTGCTAACAGTAAGTGCCCTGTGATCCAATCACTTTCTGAAAGCCTCACCTCTGAACGCAGGAGGCTTCTGCGGGAAATTTTCGACCTAAACCATAACATTCTGTCCCTGGCCCCAAAAGACTCATATCCCTTTCTACACAAAATGTATTTAGTCCATGTCTACGTATTGCCAAAGTTTTAAGAGTTTCAACATGGCTGAGAAGTCCAAGTCCAAAGCCTTCTCTGAGACTCCAGGCAAACTCCTAGCTGTGAGCTCCTGTAAAAATAAAAAAGAAAGTTAGATATTGCCAACATATGATGGCACAGGACAAACATTCCCATTCCAAAGAGAAAAAATAGGATAGAGAGGAAGAACAAGACCTTGCAGGGCTAACATGAAATCCTATGTCTTTGTGTCTTGCACCCAGGGCAAGTTATGGTGAGATGTGGTCTTCTAAAGGTTTGGGGGGCCCTTCTCCTACAGCATTGCTGGCTGTAGCCCTCGTGGCTTCTCTCTTGAGGTGGCTCTCTTCTCTGCCTGTGACTTCCCTCAGCAGACAGTCGTATTCCTGGCATTTCCAACTTCTTGAGGTCTCCACTACTCTTTTGGCTTCACTCTCACACTTTATGCACTAACAAGGAGGGACGCACTGCTTGGCTTCCCAGGCTTTCTTCTGAAATTGAGGTGAAAGCCTCCATGACCCCCGTAACTTGCATTCTGCATACCTGAGAAACCAGTACCTTGTGGATGATACCAAGATCTGCTGTCTGCTCAAGCAGACATGGTTGGATCATGGTTGCAGAGACCTCTGAGTGCCTGGATGGCTGAGTACTGTGTGTCCTGGAAAACAAGCTCCCTAGGCAGCTGTTTTGGTACAGAGCACCCTGTAGCTCTCTCTCAAAGTAAAGTCTTTTAAAGCAATCTGCCT